TTTAGTCCTTAAAATTGCAAGTAAAATAATGGTTTGCAGGAATGCAGCACTGACAAACCCACGGCTCTTCAAAAACTAGTTCCTTCTACCAGGTCGATTAAATTGCATGACCCTCACCCTCATAATTCAGATTTTTACCACATGGTCAATCAGGTAAAGAAAGCAATTTCGTAATGTTTGCTGTTATGATGTGGGATGGTTAATTTTAAATAAAAAGATTTTAAAACCAAAAGAAGCATTATTCACTGACAAAGTGTTTTATTCCCACTGTTCGGCTAGCAAGTCGGAGATTTGAACAGTAAATTTTATAACACAATGAATTGGCCACCCACTGTTGATTGGCTTTGCAGGAGGCTCACGAGGGTGGTTTGATGGATACGATGTTTAACTTCATGCCATGACGCCGCAAAGGATCTTGTAAAACTCCAAATCAACTTCTTATTTTACCATTCAGAAATGTTTTATGAAAACTGTTAAGTATTTTTTCGTACAAAGGGAAACTTATCAGATTTTACGTACAAAATCCGTGGTCCACCACTTTTAAAATACATATTTTTAAAAATGGTTTTAAGATTAAATTATGTAGGGCTTCACAATGCTTGCTTTCAAGTCTTTACTTTCCTTTGAAAAGTAAAAATGTTATGTGAAACTCAGAGAAACATTCTTATCACTGTCGATTATCGGGATTATCCTTAGCCATCGGTTTTAAAAGACATGACATTTTCTGATATTCATACACTCTGAGAAGAGATGTCAATGAATAGCATTATATTATTGAGTAAAATGTTTACTTCCTTCAAAAAGTAATGCTGCAAATCGTGATCGTATATTTAGACAACCTATGTTTCACAAATAGCCATTCATTTCTGACACCTATTTTTATTATTCAGTTGGCAATTTAACAGCGTTAATATTTCTAAGAGAGTAAAATTGCTTCCCCTTTGACGTCATTTTTACTACATCAAAATATTAACGTTGCTTTACACTCGCATTTTCAAATTTCCTTTAGCAAATGTTCATTTTATGCTACATAACTGCACATTGGTCATGACTATTTTAAAAGAATTTGCAACTATTAAGACCTGAGTTAATGTAAGTAAGGGATTTTAGGGAGCGACCAATCAAAATAATGTTCCCAGTCTTTAAAACACATTGCGACTGCAATTTTTTAGGATTTCTTTGGCTACCAGGACAACTTTTAATGGGTTATTGTAAATAACTACGACAATTTTTTCGTATTTTACAGACGTAAGATGATTTTGTGCTTGAGAAACGGCTTTGAAGCGATTGCATCAAACATAAGCAGTTTTTAAAATAGGTCTGACGCCTTTTCACTTATCAAAAGCAACATTCGCTATGAATGAATGTGGTTGCATGACATAAATGTTATGAACTTAACGATGAAATATGAATCCGAGCAACTTCATTAAGACATTTTCACGAGTTAAATCGTATGTACACCCAACAATGTAATCAAATGGTGTTGCTATGGTGCATCACGAGTGCATGATTTCATTTACCTTTAAGAAAATAAGTTACTTGAGCTAGCTAACTTTGGTGATGCCGAATCGTTTTATATGTTAAAAAACTGACTGAATTTTGCCCTGCCACAATCATTTCTGATCCCTCAATGCGCCATTGCTCTTTGTTTGGTTACACTAGAAAATTTATGTGTAAAACACAAAACTTTGTGTTTTTTTATCAAAATTTTACAATTTAAGTGCAAAAAATAGTCAGAACAGTGCCAATATTCGCTTATAAAAGGTGTGGTTTGATTATTATTTTGCTCTAGTTCTGACTGATCGTTTCAATTCGCATCAGAAATCCAACTTTTCTGAAACGAGTTTCTTACTATAGTAAGCACAATAAATGGTTCAACTCGGCGCACTTAAATTTTCTGCGCAAATCCAAGTGAAAGTACAGTTGCGTCCGCTTTTCGCTAGGATATATAAGTTTAGAAGTAAATTTTTAAGAATCAGGAAGTATTTTTTTATCATGACGCACTCCGTGACTTATGACAATAGAAGAGTAGCAAACACAGCATGAAATATGCACAAAAGAAGCGTCAGTGCATTGCTACTGCCTCTTCAGTTGCTTCTGTTGCTCTCCCTACTAATTTTGCTGCCGTTGTTGCTGCAGCTGCTAACATACCACAAGGACGCTAAGGAAAGTGGAGTGGTGCAAGGTTTCCTGATACACTTCCTTTCCCGCTGGTTAGTGCCATAAATACTTTCATTTCATACCCATGCTCTCTACACCCTTTGCGCAAACACAAAACATTTAACGGAAGCAATTCGTGTGGGTTTGTAAATGTTAAATAATCACTCCCAAAACATTGCTTATTAGTATGAAATGTTGTAGACGATTAAAGTTTACTTGCTAACCAGCTATTTATACCTATTTTATAAAGTCAAAGGGAACCGTAAAGTCAATTTATCTTTCCGTACTTGTACCTCAAGTGTTAAAGTACAGACCAGATGTACAAATAGTACAAAAAATGCTTTCCTGTGTCTACTGTCTTTTTTTAACCTTATTGATTGGTATGGTCAATGCAAATTACCTCCTTTTGCTTGAGCTCATTAAATATGTCAATTTTTGGAAATCACTGTATTTCGTGCACCAACCTTGTGTGTTTGTGTATCTCAGGTTTAGTCTAAAATCACGCAACTCGTGTTGCTGTGTACATCGAAATGTTCACAGAGGTTATCTAAAATGTTATTTACTGCTGCACTGTTTGAAAGCATGCACCTCTGGGATTAGGGTAAAGGAGCGTCGCTAAAATAAAACTAAATTTTTTAAGCCTTTCTCAAAAGAATTTTTGGAGTTTTTTGTCTAGAGACTTCGATTAAATTTTATCTTTTAGGAAGCGACACTTACGAGACTTTATGACCGGATTAAGGTCTAGCAAGAGCCTACATCATAAAACGCATTAAATACTCTCCAACCCCTGTTCATCTAGAAAACAGCCACTATGCTTAAGGTAGTTGATTACGCTACTTACTTATTCTATGCCAAATAAAATGCTAGATTTTATTATTTCGATAGGCAAGAACCAGTTAGAATTCTTTGGCGCTTTAGAGGAATGTGCGGACTTCAGCTTCCACATACCAGGAAAACACGCCTTGCGTCTGCATCTATCGCCAAATAAAAGGTTACTGAAACTTTTGGAAAAACTTCCTGTATGCCTCCTTAGCTTTGGCTACCACACTTTGAGAACACCGTTACAACTCACTTGTACTCTTATAGCCTTCCCTATTTTTACTTATAAGCCCGTAATAATTTCGTTATTTTACCTAACAAACCCACATGGTTAATTAGACCTTCAAAATCATTATTACAAATAGTATAATGGCGCCTTACTTGCTTTTAGCTTCCATATTAAAAAGCGTCTACTTCTTCTTACGAATCCTTTTTCTTGAAATATTCGGTTCCTTAACTCTCGGCTGGCTTTTCTGTTAGCTGACTCAGTAATTGCTTTAAGTAAAACTTTTCCACCTGGAATTTCGTGATGGTACTTTTTTGGTTTTAATAGTATTTTGTTGCAATGAAAACATTTCTTCAACATCAAAGGATTGTTTTACGTATTGAAGACGCAGTGGAAGTATTTTGGACCTTTGTTGGAAGAAATCTGATTTTCCTTCTAAATTGTTAAACTTCTTATGTATTTTAGCGCCCATATTAGCATACATTTGCTTCGAACAATATGATCACTGACTTGTTATTAGCCTCACAAGTTTTCTAAAACAATAGCTTTTTAAACCCCTTTTGATAATGCAATAGTAAGATAACTTATGCTGGTTAAATATTCTATGCTTTAAACGCATCGTTTACATGATGCTTTTAAAATATGTATATACATATGCTTACAAAAAGCACAACCTTCCGGACGCATGGAAAGTAATGATTTTCAACAGTTTAGTTTTAGCGTTTCAAATTTATTCAAAGCCTATTGTATGATTACTAACATCTTTTTTTCTATTAGGTTTTACTCAAGCTACGATAATTTGATTTTGCTTCTATTTTAAAATATCCAAAACTCAGGAAATACTTCACCCTTTTGCCCACAGACATAATTTACGTAATTGTCTCCTTGATAATTTTTATTTAATACCGTAGGTCATTTTAGCATCGTCGTATGATCACTTTTATTCAAGTCGACAAAATTCCATTATCTTTAGATCTAGTTGCTGATTAGTGTCCAAGTGAAGTAAACAAAAGTCCCTTGCTGCTCAGATGTAGCGGCTGGGGTCATCAGCCCCGTTCCTTCCTGAATATGGCCTAGGAATATTGTTATTAAACCCCACCAAATCAGCATAGCATTGTTGAAAGTGTTTCTAAAACACAAGTGAGCTCTGCGTGCCAACGACAAGAACCAATTGACGCTTCGTAGTGTCCTATCTATTGACACTTGTATAAAGTATCATATTTGAACACTGCTGATCGGATAACTGTAGCCTACTTAAAGTGTCATTAATATTGCAATGAATGAGTTTCTTATTTTATAAAGAATTTTGTTTAGTTTTAGTAAATTTTGCAAACTATATTTAGTACAACATTCAGCTGTGCTAACTCTTGCATGATGCCCATAAGAAATGGAACATTTCGTCAATACTTGAAATTTAGTTCACCTCTTCATCATGCGTCTTAGGTGGGACCTATTAACCACACCCAGTGCAGATTCATCTACGGAATTACGCTTTGTGTGGATGTAAATCAGTGCATCTGAAATCGGATAAAGAGCTGCGCCATAAATAAACGCATTCTTTCTATGGTAGCGCTAAATGGGCATTTGTTGACATGATCCAGGCGCATTCCAAGGCTAGATCCAAACCGAGCTAAAGCACACATGTCTGGTAATCAGTTTGGTAGAGGTTTCTGAATTCAAAGGATCGCCTTATGCACTTACTTATAAGGTACAATTATTTGCTTTTAGCAATGTCTTTCTTAACTTCGACAGATCAGTAATATGAGTTGTTTTGTGTTGAACAGAAAACAGCCTTCTACAATGTAAGCTTTAGGTCCCCTGAGTTATTTAAAGGATCAAACGTAACCCTGAAAGAATGGAAAAATTTAATGGTAGGGGCAAATATCTAATGGAAACTCTTAAATAATGTATGAATAGGTGGAGAACTAAAGGACCATATATTGTATAAGCCCGATTATATTCAGTTTAGAATAATTGAGTGATTTCAACTTAATGAAAATAATTGCTTGTAAGCTCAATCGAAATTATCTTTCTGTATTCCCATCGATACCGATTGTTCTGGCAACAGAAAACCATCCTGCTGTAAAGTACTGCATGCAAATTAAACAATGAGTGTAAAATGATTTCTCTCTTAGCTGGATGGGATGGAATAATGATCGGAAGCGAATTAAGTTTGATCTAATTTTGACGATTGGTGTGTAACGCTAAAATGTCTGAATTGCCATCAAAGTAGTGTGACTCAAAAGAGGATAGTGTAAATGAACACCAGCATGAATAATTAAAACTTGGGCTTTGTTAAAATTATTAAAATTCATATGAGCCTTTAAAATCGTGTGTGTGGCATAATATTTCGGCAGAATCTAGTTCCATAGTTGCAAAAAATCGGAAACTCTTACACAGTAACTGCATAATTTAATATCTTCATAGCGCTGTAAATAAGTCAAATTTGCCATCATTCCGGTGCAAAATCAGTTGTAATTGCCCATGCGTTTCAGTTTGGTCTCAAACAAATAATAATATTTTTAATGAGCTGAAGTAATATTGCCTTTTTAGGAAAATTCTTGATTGCCTAAAATAATCACTGGATCTGATATGTTTTTAAATTACACCTAAGCTATTTTCAAATGGTAGGGCAAGTTTAAATTTCCCCTTTCTACTAAACAATACTAGCCCGGAAAACAATGATTTGTGGTAAGTGGAAATTGTTATGGGGGATAAGGAAATCTAGCGGAAGTCTGTGGTAAAACGCTAGCATGGGGTCAAAGTCCCATTTATCTATGGAGCGCGAGGAGAGGTTAGTAAATTTGTCGCATACTTTCATTTAAGCCAGTCCTAAATGCTGAAACGAACAAATAACTGGAGGAATTTATTTTTAGACAAGCGATTCAAAACATTAGTTCTAGGCTAACCAAAGCACCATTTGTGCTGTGAAAACTCACAAAGATACTCAAATTTGAGTAAACGGGGCCGATCCCGGATTAACTAACGTTGGATTAATTTCGACTTTCATTGGTTGCTTTATCAAACAAGTAAAAGAAAATGGAACCAAAACAATGATACTTTAAATCTATTACGTTGCTTATATTGATGCCCCGGAGTGATACAGCAAATGCCGCATTTTTATTATGAGTGGGTGAAAAACGACTCTCATATGCAGTTTAAAAACTTTACTGATTTCGGTTGATAGGCGCACATAAAATAATGTGAAGCAATATATCTTAATCACAACGTAAGCCTACCTATCAATGTTGGCGAATCAAGTATATGCTGCAACATTTGTTGCTAAATTATTTGATACATGGACTTACCTGTAAGCAGCTCGTAGCCACCTTATTCCATGGCGGGAACACAGTCAAAATAGGTGTTGTGAGATGTGCCGCTCTTTCAAAATACCAAGATTGGCGCCCTTAACGCAAACGAAGCTTTTGTAGTTTTTTTGGAAAATCATCTACATTCGTTTTACTGGAATTAACACTCGCAGGTTTATACCAGCATTACTTGGAGTTCAGTAGGTAAGCGTAGAACTGCAAAAATTGGAGTTTATAATGTGTTCCCAGGTCGGCGCAAATTAGCTCGCACGGCATCAAAAGCGAACACTGGTTTGGATAGAGATTACCAAAATAACAACCCCGAAGGTTTCAGAAAAAAAACTTTAAATAGCATGTAATCTTAGTTATTGATGCACCAAAAAATCCAACTATAATATTCATTTAGCAAAAAATTGTTGCCGTGTAAGTGGGTTTGTGGAGCTACAGTTTATGCTTAAATTGCCATTTTACAGAGCAAATAAGAATTCTTCTACTTTTGGGTGCCGAAATGGACTAAGTTGAAAAAAAACTATGTGAGCTGAACAACATTAAGATTTTTTATGATTTTTGCCCTGCGAAACTTGGGCTATTTTTCTAATAGTGTGTTTCAATTCAGATGAACGTGAATGAACCATATTTGTGACTGAGTCAGTGAAAGAGGCCAACAGCGTGTTTTCTGTTTCCGAAGTAAATTTTGATAAATGTGTTTATCTTTTGTAGGCTCATAAGTACATATATGGATGCTGTTAAAAAGATGTCAAGTTCTTAATTTATACACTCATTGTTAATCGTTTTTTCCCTATGCATAGTAGGAATTTTCCGCCCTTTCACCTTGCAAAATAATTATTGCCGGGCCAGCATTGATTTCGCTTGATACAGCGCCATGCGAGACATTGGATTCCAAAGTGTACGATGAGAACTATAACTATCATTACAAAATCAGTAATTCCTTGCCATTGGTTGTCTTTGATTAAACAAGCCATCGATGCAAATTGCAAAGTGTAGAAAAAAAGCTAAATGGTTGCTTTGACAAATGTGTGTTTACAATGGTAGCTTGAGTAAATTATTTGTACAGACTGCCAGAATCCTCATCACTGAAGTGTAGAGAATCTCTTAAGCCAACCTCACCAACTTAGAGTTCAGAATGTCTCAAAGGATAGAGCACACCAGCCTGCATCGTTTTTATTTTGGGCGATACGTCTACTATTACGAAGCGAAACAGGCAAAATGAGATTAAATTTAACTTTAGTCGAAAATGCATTATTAAGTTTTGGGGTGTTTATGATTTTAGCCACGAAATTCAATAGATTCATTTGTTTATTTGGCATTATTTTTAAGTCGTGCATCGTCATTGTCTTGTCACACGAAGAATGCCGGAATACTTACCCAAGCCTTTTTCCATTCAATTTAAAATACGAATTAATCGAAATTAAGCGATTTGAAGGAATCGGTTACAAGCAGCAACCTTCATCATTATAAGGAGGCTCAATTTAATCGAGCTACTAATTAATAAGTGGTGTTGGTAAAAAAATATATATTGAGGCTTAAAATAAATTTCCACTCGGAGTACACTAATATGGCACTTCTCGTGATGTTGCAAATCCTTCCGAATTTGTTCAAGTGTGATCAATTGAGTTGTCCACGAGGAACAATTATGTGTCAGTTGACCTTTGTAAGCTGTCAGGTAATAAGATGGATGTCGCCAATTCAAAATTGTCTATTTATTGGTCTTCAATGTGTAGTTATTTCTGAAATGAAGAGAATTTGGAAAAAGACAATTTTACAGTGCATTTAAGCAAAATCTGCTATAAAAACGTAATGTGCAACTGTCATTATCCCTGCGAAGTTGTGCCATTTTCCTAAGTAAACTCTTTATGCTAAAACCCTTCACAGAAGTGAAAGCCGTCTATTTCAGTAGCTACTTTCTCAAACACAAATCAATCACTGAGACTGCATTCAAACCGCCTTTACAAACGATTTCATCAAAGCAATCTTGACAGTCACAAACCATTCTGTACCCTAATATTGTCTCCCACCACCTGCAAAACAACATTCAGGTACAGGCGACAATGTTCATTGAGCAATGATATTGAAAACTAGTCTGTAAAACTGGTCGCCATTTACAGCTCAGTAAATAAACATTTCGTTACTTAATTTATGTTCAACACAATCGTTTGCTAACGGTGCAGACAAAACACTACCCAGAATTACACATTGTCGTAATAAATGAATCCATCACTCGTGACAATTAAAAAATTAAGGCGTGGTGGTAAACGGTTCTAAGTTTCACTCAAAAACTTTACGGAAATATGCGTTAATTAAGACTACCCTCATTTGTGTCTTTGTGTACAGTTCTACATTAGCACTCCTGCAACCGCAACTAGTTAACATATTAGTGTCTATAACGTCATTACAACTAAGTAAGATACTTTATAAACGCTGATATACATAAAGTGACGCCAAATTCACGCAGTAGTTTCTTCTTTGATAGGGAGCGAAAATACCTCAAATCTCAGTAGAAAATCCAAAAATTAAGCTGTCGTAAATCGTTAAATCATCTATACTCTTTCGCTTGTTTTAAAGCGAGTGAATCACCCTTTGTGTGAAGCATGCATTGAAGTGTGATTATTTTTAGATAGCAATAATTTTCTTGATGCAGAGGTCGAAGTGCATCAAATTGGTGCCTAATCGAATGGAGGAGAAAACTGTCACCATTCCCATTTCTAAAATGCTGCATCAATGCCACCTTTTCATTGATTTGATTTCTAGCCTTAAGTGTGGGCGAAGAAGTCCACAAAAAAAATGAGTGGATGGAAAGTTTCCTTCGTGGTTGGTATTTTAAAGCACAAACTTATATTTATTGGATTTTATTTGCTCAAGAACAGTTAAATACCTCTGGCAGCTGCTTAGTAGTAGAATTCCTATCTAAAAACGGTATTAGAAAGTTTTTAAACGACCCGAAAGACCCGTCATCAAACAGCCTTAAGCCGTTGTGGCTAGGTTAAGTTGATCGAGAAGTAAGTCTGAGCCCTATGACTCCACAAAATTAACAAAATATTTTTGGAATAGTTGGGAAATAATTGGGAGCTTTGAGAACAAAAAAGGTCAAGAAAATTTCTCACTTAACTCAAAATTGGAAGTGAACATAAAAAAGCCACCTTCTCACACTCGAAAATGTTGGATGAAGGTACTAAGTTATTTTATGATATTTTTAGCCTTAAATGTAATAGACGAAAATTATTGGAAAGTTACTGAGTGCTCTACAAATGATTGACTCATCCAAAATATTACGGCTGGTCTCGGTAAGTGCAAGGATCAACCAGTGGTGACTGGTTAGGTTTATTTTATTGAAGCGATGGAGTTAGTCGAATTGTTAATGCCAATCAAAATGTATACACGTATCAAAAACACTTGAAAGCAAGTAAGTTTTTCCTTAAGACAAGGTGAGGTGGGACTTGAGCTACCTGCGAAAACATTCTCCAAGATTACCTGACGCCATTTAATATGTGGCCGTAGAATAAAAATGGCTTCGTTAATGAGGGCAAAAAGCCCAAAAATAATAGGAAGATCGTTGCCAAATCAGGAACTGCGCTGTTATTCCAGAGGCCTGATTGACAAGTACCCACGACTGAAAGATCGTTGTTAGAAGTCACAAGCGATTATCTTTGACAATCAAGCTATTAGAGTACTTGCATTGTTTTTACTTGTCACTTTATTGGAGTAAGGAACAGTCTTTTTCATTTAGAATATCTGCACCAGACACTGCTTGCATTGTTCTATTTATTTTTTGACGTTGGGCAAAATTGAACTCACATTATGAGTGGGTAACTATGAAAGGCTAAGACGAGGAATCTCCACGACGTTGTATGTCCAGGACTTAATTCTGACGGATGTTAATCAATGAAAATTCTCCTATCTGGTGGCGTCTTCTATGGCGCGAAAGGGCAAGTGGAAGTGACGTGCAGCAAATAGGATGCGAAGTCCATCGTCTCGAAATCGTTGATATCCCCCAAGCCTTACAGAACTTCAGTAATGAGTGAATACAGTCCATTAACTTAATTGGCTTTTGTTTTCACTTCATCAAACAGTGAATAGACATTAAACTGTTTTCCATCAATTCATCCAGACAGGGGAAACTGCCTTGGTTAAACACTAAATGCTTAGGTTATTTTCTGGAAGCAGCTATCAAAATGCGCTCCTTTTATTAAGTGGCCTTTTGGTTAGCCTATGATGCTAAAAATTATTTAAAATTTACGGTTTCTGGGATTCCAAAAAGCATTCCCAGTGAACGCTATTATCTTCCCTATCATGGACCGTAACATTTACCACTACTACATCACTCATTTTAGTTATTTATTGGACCGAATTAAGAATATGCTTTTAAAAGAGTTTCATGAGATTTATTAGGACTCCTTCATTATATTTCGCGCTAAATTACCGGAGCAAAGAATGCAGAATTTAGCATGATATTAATGCATAAAAGTGTATTTCTACAATTTGCAGTTATCAAGGATGAACTTTCGAAAGGAATGGAGGCATCTTAGCAGGAATTTCTAATCTGATTGATTAGAAAAACATGTGTGTATGGATGCAATTAACATAGTTGCTGGAAGAAGAGCGTAATATTATCGAAGCTCCTGTGTCCGGGCTGGTGGCCTATCAAATAGCGGTCAAAAATATCTCAAGGCCAATATTCAGCACCACAACAGTCGGTAAAAGATTAGTCCGAGCTCAACGCCACATGATTGGACAATCCACACTAAAATTCACTACTATGCTGTTTTTCAGTGATAAATACACTAACCCTTTGCCTCCTTTCATCTTGATAAGAAATACTCCCGCCAAAATGAGGGACTTTTTAAATCCAATATAATTACGAGAAAACTGTTAACCCATTTCAGCTGACGAAGTTAAAGGTCTAGACGAATGTATACATTCATAATCTTACTTAGGATATTTGAATGCAGAGCTCCTTAATATAAATTTTAACTTGTGACTTAAAAGTATCCCCTCCATCTACTAACGCCTCTGTATCAATGTCTTCAAAACCACTTTCCAAAAAGATTACATCGTCTGGATTCCAAATGCATTTAACGTTGTAGCTGTTTATAAACTCTGAGATCTCAAAAACCAAGGTTATTTTGAAATCCCAAAATAAAAAATGAGTCTTCCGCATTTTCGTTTGTAAGATGAATCAATGAGAACCAAAGTGAACGTGCGATTACCTGATTTTCAATCGCTTTATACCTTGCCATTAAGTTTGATTAAGTCTATACGCTTATACTACAAGCTATCTGCAGTTGTTAAAAATAACACTAAAACATATCAAGTATATACATCAGATAGAGGGCAGAGCCTGTAAACACCGTTTTGTCTGTCTGGACGATAAAATCCGCATGCCATGAAGATCACTTACAAGTGCGGAAGAAGGTATGACATCGAGAATGTAGACTGTTTAAAGCTTGCATCGACTACTTTCCCGACCACTCTTTTAAGGGGATGACATAACGTACTCACCGTCAAATCTTCCATAAAGTCGTCAATCAATGGCACCAGACTTATGTAGAATTCCATAAGTTCCGATGTTATTTCTGCTTCACTTAATCATTTTACAAAAAATGAGAGATTTTACGACATCGTTAAGTGTCCTGCTTCTGAAATCCTGATTTATTGGATCCCTATCGAAGGTTACCAGTAATTGACAATACCGTCTAAGTAATTCCACCTCTTCAATGGATGCTACCACTAAGCACACAATGGTTTTATGTGGATTAAGACATTATGGATACATATATAACCATTATAAGCAAGTGGCTTTCGCCAATAAACTTATTAAGTGGAAATGCCTCCGCTAGGTGAGCTCAAATATAAACCCATATCATATTGTCGTTAAAAATACAGTACACAAACCCATCGCTCGAAATAGTGAATGTTTAATTCTTTGTCGCTTATTAATCGCATCGTACAGGCATCATTTCACACTTTTTTTGCTGTTTTTCATCTGTGGCAACGAAAGCCAATGCAAGTATATATATACATATATTGTCCAATGATTAAAAGAAAATGCAAAAGTTTTGTAAGTGGTCGCTCAAGTCAGATGCACTACTACATTAAAGGCAAAAATGCAAGATAAAGCAAGGTGATACAAACAAGTGAGCAGTTCCAACTCGTTCTACTGCGATATCTCGTAAGTGGAATTGCGCGTTTGCTGCTTGAGACCAGGAATGCTCTTCCAAGTTATCGTTACTCTCATTCGTACTCCACACATAATGGCTAGAATTGTGTAAAAAATTTCATATCGCTAGGATATAAAAACGATTTTCCCGGCAAAAAGCTTCAGCATAATATCGAAGAAGTTGCACTAAAATTACCGAAGTAAAAATTGGCACTTTTCACCACGCCCCAAAAGCAACTCAATCATTCAACGTAGCAAATTTTCGTGATGAAAGCATTCGCGTATTTCGCCGGAGTTTGGTAAGATTATGAACTGTATTGCCCCCCTTAATTCAACCAAAGTCCTCATGTTACGCCTTTTAAAAGCGTTATTTTGAATAAGGAACATTTTAAACCAAGAGTCAAATCTCCCAGGTCATTTGGGCCCCACTATTTTTGTTACTTAAGCCTAAAAAACAGGACGGGATCTAATTATCATGAGAGTTGGAAGGTGAATGAAGGGAGTTCAGGGGGCGTGGGATGCTGGTGAGGGGTGCGGAATCGAGAAGGGTGGCCGTGAAGCGCCTTACTCTGAAGTGCGGTACCTTGGAGGCCCGTCTGGACGTCTGATGCGATGGAGATTAAGGAACCACGGTCGCTTGTCCGCGTCTTGCTGGATCGTCTCAATCGAATCTATGTCGTGCGGGAAGACATCTATCTGAAAATGACGAAAACAGGGTTCCGCCTAATCTTAAAAGTTTCTGCCTATTATTCAAAAAAGCTTTCCTAGAGAGCGACGTTATACAATTAATATAACCCGATTTTAATTGTTTAATGCTTGTTAAAGATGCTGCCATTTATAAAATGAACCACCCCTTACCACGAGACCAGAAATCCCCGCTTGATCCGCACACATTACTCTAATTAAGAAAAAGGACATCTGATTCCCTTATTTACATCTAATTAAAGCAAATTAGAGGTCTTTAACGCGCCTAAACAGAATATGCTAGTGAGGACTCATGCCGACTGCAGAATGAAGTGCACAGAGGACTTCTCACAAGTGTGTGGTTCATGCAACCTTCGCCGAAAAAACTTGACAGATTCAATTATATCTACCAGACATCATATTCTACCATATTTCTGATGCATGATATGTACACATTAGCTGTATTAATGGACTAACAAAAAAGTGGACTTCATAAACAAAGAATGAAAATTGGTAGCACAATTAGAATCAATATTGACATTGTCACTGCGTGGGGCTACTATAAATCATAGTCCAATTCGCCGATAACAGCGCAAAGCAAACTGGAATCGAAATAGGAATGAAAAACGAGTGATTTTTGCAAAGTATGCGGTTTCTATAAGACAAGTTCTTCAACGGGACCCTGAACCAGATTTGTTAAACACACTCGAGTCAGGAAATAATTCCTCCAGCTCAAAATTCTCACAACATCGGTGTAGGGAGGAAACAATTTCGGGGAAAAAAATAAAGCAATCTACACGTCGGGGACATCGAGAGATGGTGTACCGTCCGTCCACCCACCCATCCGTACACTCAGTGAGGGAAAAAAGATTATTTCCATTTTTTAGTAGAGCTAATGAAGGGAAGTTCAAAGCACCTCTCTCATCCTCTTTAGCCACAATTCTCAAAATAGGGACTGTTTGGCACAAATGGAATACAGAGGTTGCAAACATCCAAAAACTAGGCTAAATATATTAAACTACGAATAGCTTGAAGTAGAAGAGATCAGAATGATTTGGCCGTAAATGGTACAAATTCCCATTATCTAGCATACAATAATTTTTAAGCACGTCATTAAGGTGCGATACCTATTTAGTGTTATCACGAAGGAGACTAAATCTTGCAGTTTTACAAGATAATAAATTTCAGATGATCCACTGAAAATTCAAAAGCTAAAGTCCATTTTCTATTCTATGAAGTAGAGTCGTGAAGTACGCTATGGTTATCAGTTTATTTATGTTATAGTTCAATTAAAACACTACTAATTCAGTATACCATGTATTGTCCATAATTATGCTTCGTCAGTCAGAGGTCAAAGCTGCACTAACTTGCGAACGGCACAAACACATATATGCTCATACAAAAATATTTGTAAGCGCAGCCTTACGAGGATGCTTAAATGTGTGTTCAATAGATTGCTACACTGTAGTGGTGACAACAGCCACAACCACGACGAGTGTGTCATTCATCTGGATATCCCAAGGAGAAAGGGAGCCTAATCAGGGTCCTCCTTTTCAGTTTGATTTAATAGATTGGTGGCCAATGAGAGTTTACAGGGTCAGATCAAAGGCAGGTGAAAAGCTTCGGAGGTGGGTGACGTAAGCCGGGGGAGAGGGGGTCGTGGTGTCGAGGTGATAAAAGAGGACTTGGTTAAGCAGAGAGAGAATTCAAATGGGCAATAAAACTGTCTTCACACGCGTATCCTTTCGCACGCACGCAAGCCGTAAGCAAGAGTGCCCTTGTCCTGGAGACTTGCAAAGGCGGCACAAGCCGCGTATCAGAGAATGTTATCACACTGCTTCAGTAAAAACGCCCTTGTGTGCACGCAACGGACTCAGCTTCATACACAAAACACACACCACTTGTTGCGAGGACCTCGTAAAAACACGTGGTGAGGGCGATCATAAAAATCCAGTACTTGCAAACTTGGGAATGACAGTAAAGGACTGAGTCAAGCGATCCACACTTTAAATTGGGCAAATTACATAAATCAAGTAGTGAATGCAGAAAATTTACCACACATGAACAAACACTGCCCTTTAATCTCCTTTAGCTGCCAGGTAAGAGAAATGGATTAAATGTTTACAGATCAAATCCATTAGGTAAGAAAAACGTGAGGTCGTATGAAACTGACATTTTTAAAGTAGCTATAGAAAAGGGGAAGTGAATTGAGAAATTTAAATTCAATTTTGCGTTACAGACGGAGTAGCAGATGAAAGCCTTCACCATGAATTGGCTACCTAAGCCACATGGTTTGAGCAAAGTCGTTCCACTTGAATCCCAGAATAACGGCGTAGTAACAGCGAATTTAAAAGGAGGAGTTCATATTGAGCACAAATGGTCGAATTCAGCCTAGTTATCACTCTAGACACTAGGATAACGATTTAGGAAAAATGGCCAACGGTAAATCACGTAATAGTCAAAACAGTGAGCAGAGATTGCACACCTCTGAGCGCTACTAAAAGTGCCTGAAATTGGATTTTTCCAAGGAAAGGTAAATTCGCTCATGCATTTCGTCTCGTTTTCGTGAAAGATCCTATCTCAAGGAGTTTTGTTTCGCACTAATGAAAGTAATCTAACCTAATTTTGGCCTATTAATGACGCAATACACCAGTCGTTTGCAATAAATGAGTCAATGTAAGCCAATGCTTTCTCGATTCAGAGACAATGGTGATGTTGTGTCACTTTCCCTCAGAAAATTAAGCCATGGTGTAAAACGACTTCTTACGCGCAAGCATTTCAGAAAAAAGAAAATCTGATAGAATAACTTAATAATTAAATAATAAGTAAATTTTTAAGTATTAATGCGTCTTTACTTTACTTAAAAGCACTAAAATATTCACATAAAAGCCGGCTTAAGTGTGTGAAACAAAATCGAGTGTTTATAATATAAAACCAGATTATCTGTATTTGCAGAAAAACACGCCAAGAATTACCAATTACCTATGAACCCATTCAACCTTTTAGTTCAACGGACAAAATCTCAACGCACATGCATAAAATTTAATTAGGCTAGTGGTTCACAGAGAGAGAGAGAGAGCTCCGTTAGCGATCATGAAATAAGAAAACGGTTTCACAAATACACATTTAGATTATCGATGTAACATTTTATGATTTTAAGCTTTATGTACAAATGTGCGACAGTAAAGGCTGCATTAATGAAGTCACGACATTGAGCCCTAGTGATACTGTCGCACAGATATATTATCACAAGCCCTTCTCGCTCCATAGCTGTTTAATGAGTTTCCGCGAAATATAAGCCGTCTTCTCATACCAAACACTAACAAGAACCAGAATAGATCATGCGCCACACTGCAATAACCCAGTAAAAAGTGTTCCGAATCACTGTATCAACGACACAAAAAGGAAGTGAAGCTACCTCGGTCAGCGATATGCAGCACCTGATAGAACTTTTTGAAAGATGGAGTACCCGTAGGCAGAGCTATATGTCATGCATGAAATCGCTTTTGTTCTTGCGAGACATTGGTTTTTAACACAAGTGAAATGGAAAGCAGATAGCAACAACCATCTGTAAAAAATGGCAATTTACTCAAAGTTACCGGGCTACTTGGGGAGATTAAAATATCCAATCAAGGGCCAACATGTGAAAGCAGTGTGTGCTAGAAAAAGATGTTTAATCACAATCTCTAGCGGCTTAAAAGTAGTTTTCATAGAGCTCAAATGAATAGCATAATTTAGTGGCTAAAGTGAGCGGGCCATAACAAAGCTCCGCCTCAAGAGAAAGAAAAGGCAGTGCATTTTTGATTGAGCGCATTCAATGGTTTGGATAAACAGCATTCAAGATGTGCTATTCACATGATCAAAATGCATTCAAAACCAGACGTTTATCTACACTTTCCAATGGTGCTGAAGTACATAAACAATTAAGTAAGGAACTAAGTGGCATTAAACTTAGCACCCGCCAAGGCAATTCGGTGCAATGTCCAATGATGAAATGGAGAAAACGGCACCATATTCCTACTTCAACTTAATAAACCCAAACTGCTGGTAATACCGGGGCTGGTAGTTTATGAACTTGTGCCCCAATGCAAAATGTAAATGTAGCAAGCAAAATCAACCCAAATAAAGTGCTTTTATGAGAATCGAAAACGGGCATGGGTACACCATTTTGGATCAAATTTAGATTTCTCCAAGCAAAGATGGTTTCTGCTTGTCAGAACGATAGCTACGAATGACAAGAGTTAAATTTTCGCTGCTAATGTGTGATATAATAAGCCCACCACAATTGAAATTATGCTGCTGAGTAACTCACACCAGTTTTCTCATACACATCCAGTCTGTAGGCGTTGTGATAGTAATCAACAATGCTAGGCCAATTTGACATGGTGAATGCTATCAGGGGAACCGAGAGGTAGAGACCTAGGCGAAGAGACTCCATTTTCCACCCCATGCTTTGTCTACAAAAAAAATTGTAAGATAATATTATAATTCGGAGAAAATTTGAAAAAAAGTGCACCATTTGCCATCAGAACATAGTTCAAGTATTCAGGAGGGTTAGTCGGTATAAAACAAAGGTAGGTAGACAAAAAGTAAGCTGCAAGGTAACAATTAGTACTAGTTCGAAAATAGGTTGCACTGAAAACAAGCACTCCAGTTTATCCCAATAAACGTTGAACTGATTCAGGAATAAAAGATGGGTACTTAGTTTTCACAAGAACTTGTCAAACTACATGCGTGGTAAGCATTTTAAGTCGTGTGGTAATTGCATTGACGACGTAAGGATGAGGTGGGACCATTTTAACGGAGGCAAATCGTGAAATCAGGCCGGTCCACCCCTTTAAGGGAAGCCCATTTAATCGACCGTGGAGTTCATAAATCCGCATTTGAACTCGGCAGAAAACCTCAAGTAAAAATAATCTTATTCACATGATGTCAGTCGAATGACCCCCACATGACAATGAACCGTCGACGATAGCCGAGGCATTGAGTCACAAATTATTGAATATAAGCAAAACTTATTCTGCAATCTAAAAAATGCGTTGACATTTCGAAAAATCATGCACAGCGTTCTACAAAACGATCACTACAAAACTTATCTGTTCGATATAGCCTTTAGGACTACTTTCCAAAGCGCCCTGTTATAAGCAAATCAAGAAATATGTGGCAATGTAAAATTAGCAAATCGGAACAAGTTCATCGCCATTTGACATGGAATACTAAAGGCAGAATGCAAGCTGTTGGTACTCTGAATTAAGTAAAACTGACAAAGGTGTTCACTTAACTTACTGGGAGTTTCACGAAGGGTGTCTCATGTTCGTAAAAATTGGCTACTTGGTCAGACAATCGCTTACCAATAACACCATTAAACAAGGCAAATGAATAAACATCTATTCGTAATCGCAGCCCAAAATTTCGCGTAAGCTTGATGCAAAGGTAGAGAGGAAATTCGCGTACCAGGTGGAAAAAGCTAGAGTGAAACGTAGGATGGAATACAACGTGATTCAAGTGAAACGTGCACTGCTCTGGAAGAAAATGCACCACACGATAAAAAGCGAAAAAAAAGCGAGAAGCAGCACAAAATTATATACAGCAAACTGGATGTGATTAAGGCACGACAAGAAAACAGTCAAATACCGAGCTAAAAGCCTTAACCACCGGTGGACACAACTGTTACCCTTCAATAAGCACTACCTCAAAAATCTCCGGTATTTTGCGAAGATTGAACCTTAACAATGTGGGAATTTTGATCTTATTGTGCGCAAATAGGCGATCAAACTTCGGCAAACCAGCTTTTAGCAAAATCGGTCACACTTGATGAGGCAGGCGGGCATTTCACGAAACTATTTTACAATAACCAGTAATCTAAACGTAGTCATTGGGGCAGTGAAAAAACACAGACAGGAAGTACGATTTCAAAACTTCACTGGATTTGCAAGATATTTATCTGAAATGGCAGCCCTTTCTGAGGCAGGATGAACATTATGAACCTAAGTGATTCTAAAGTAAGCGTTTTTCTCCAAAAAATGTGAATAAATGAACTTCCATCGGAACATCTAAAAGCCTTGAGCACCACATAAACTTTACGTATTCAGCCGCGCTACGAACCCTAAGGTATATGGTATGGCATGATAAATATCATATCTGACCTATTTATTGACTGCAACTTATTCAGTTGTAGTAAGCGCCTCACCAAAGGGTCTTGAATGGTCTTCTACATAGACCCCGGACATAGTAGACAAGCTAGTAATTAGAAAACCACTTTAAATTTGTCAGAAAAGCTCTCAACAAATTTGTGCTCCGATAAATACTGACCACCTTTGCATTTTGCGAGCTATTGTATTGTCCTGGTGCCTGATTTTTAATTTACGTCATTTTATTTCTGATTAAAAACTCACCAAAACATGTGAAATACGCCTGTATAATGATTAATTAAAACTAACATTGTCGACTTTTGAGAATAAATTAATGATAAAACCAGAGAGGAAACTGTAAGTGGAATATGGTGAATTGGTTTCTCAATATGCGTGATCAATTTTGTAAAAAGGAAGTGTTTTCATTTCAGAATGCTTTGCCATAATTAGATAAATCTGGTAATCTGCGGAGCCGTTTCATTTGAATAGAAATCACGAAACCAATTGCAAAAAAGCGGAATTACAATTTAAGATAAATTTTGAATGCAGTACATGACACCAAGACCGAAATACACAACCACATTATCAGGCAAAAAATTCAGCAATAGGATTTAATGAGCCGATTTAAGTTTAGCTTTTGAGGGAGTTAATTTTTGTACCTAGAAGAAAGACATGCCTTGTCTGGCGGTGAACATTCATTTCAAAGGCCAAGAGAGAATTCGCATCTCATGAAAAGATTTATTTTTGTTCCAGCGTGCGAACATTGATTTAACTTCACAGTGCGAGGGATCTTCAGCAAAAACGCCACGACCTCTTAATTTGGGAGTAAATCGCCACAAATTCAATGTAAGCGTGAAACACTTGACTGCTAATATAAGCAGCAATGAACACACCAAAAATCATAAGAAAATACGAGACAAGTGAGTGAAAAATCCGACATTTGCTATTTTTCTGCATAGAAAATGATAAATTATGATAAATTATCGTGTCGCATTTTTTTCCCGAGATATGAAGGAGCAAAACAAAATTATTCTTTCAGTTAGAAATTATCAAAAACAGATTGTCACACAGTCGCACAAACAAAAGATAAGGACTTCCCTTACAATTCACTGTTTATAGGCAATTACACACATAGGTGGTAAAGAAAATAGCAAAAGAACTAGTCATTGCATTGGCGGTACTGCCCGTTCAACCAGTTGCTGAAGAAACTGCGAAAAGGAAACAGACGAATCGGAAGAATTACTGCCTCCAGAGCATGGCGGAATGGTCGCCGACAAGTCCTCATTACCTAACAGTTCCTTTAAAAGGGAACACGTTTCTTCTTCGATCGCCTGGATTGGAGAGGAAATAAATTAGGTTTTATCTCATTTCAAAGCGAGTCGAAAGATAGCAACCATCCCATCGTAACTCACGGCAATAGCGGTTCGCATTTGGGCCTCCGAGAGTGATTTATCGCGATGGAGGCTGGTCAGTCGCTCTTCCAACTCGACCCGTCTCTTCCGCGCTAACTCAATGACCTTTAGGATTCGATGATACTGCTCTTGTGCCTTCTCCGCAATGCCCTCTTCTGTAGGAAGCCTGTAAGAGAGAGGAGTTTTTAAAAATTATCCATCAATGTGCAAATATTCCGCGGTGGTGGCTGTGTAAACACTACGAATGCGCATTTGCAGATTGCAGTTAGGAAATGCGAAAAAGGGTTCGATTCAAAGGAGCAAGGTAGGGAAAAAATTCGACCAAAATGCTGGCTGTGCAGCCGTTAGCTCGCACAGATTATTGAAAATGAGGAGCTTAACCTGAAAATAAATGGTGATTCATGTCCAGCTGGAATAGTAAGGCGACAAAGAACGTGAACACGTCCCCATGCATGAAACATGTTTTGACAACTCTTACCTAAATGGGATAACGTTCTGATAGTTTTGAGATATGGAATAGCGGCAGCTAAAAACCAGCATTATAATACTGATCAAAGTGCTGGCAGGTAACCCGATAAATAGTAAGCATTGTCATTTACAAAAAAGGTTTCAATTTCGACCAATGACATCTGAACATTTGCGTGAGAATTCGTATCCCATTCACAGGCCAATTTGCCGACATTCCCCAGACCCGAGTCCCCAAGCTTCCGCCAACAAACATAAAGCTTGAGTACGACATCAAGTTTTCGCAGCTCTATGCAATATTTTTTGCATTAATTATACAGGAAAAAATATCCCAGTCGTTTTTGATACTAGGTTATTTTGAGTAGTCTAGGAATAATTACCGAAACAAAACTATTCCTCTTGTGTAATTAAAATTAAACACTTTCAAAATCCAATGTGTGAACGGGAAAAAAGTTGTGAAAAATTTAGGAGGCTTTTTTATAAATTTAAGCAATACCTCATTGATAAGAAACACATTGTACGAGTGAAAAGCGAAGTGAAATTAAATGGTTCAAAAGATTTTAAGCTGTAAAACAATAAGTTAAAAAACGCGCTTAAATTAAATTAGTTAACCAGAAAATTTAACCTTTTACTGAAAAGATGTTTAGGTTCATTGCTTCGCGTGTCAAAAAAGGAGCACATCAAACCTCTAACTGTCACTAAGAGTAAAGTCAAACTAGCAACGAAAAAACTTGTGAAAGTGGATTAAAGTGGAAGCGTAACAAAATGATAAGTATTCACCTTATCTAAATCACATGGAGGTCAAATCACCCTAATTTATAGGCAATTTTTCACGCACAATTACATCCAAACACAGAAGTTGGAAACTTTCTACAAAGCAAAATATGCTAGGACTTCATAGCAGAAGAGATGGTTTAAAACTGACGGCAAAACAGTCACAGATTAGTACAAACCACATAAAAAACAATGCCAGTATTCCACTTATGACATTACTAAGCTATTTTAAATCTCATCACAATTGAGTGTCAAGCACTGAACGAGAAAATAAGCATGAATCTAGATCATGATTTACATAAGAGCAAATAGAGTAAAGCAATGACATTTTTAAGAACATGATACACTTATCAACCAATTAAATTACAATTTTAATAAAACACATCTCCGCCATACTGACAGACGAGATCCAAGATATCCCAGCAAAATGGTAGCGCAGTACAAAGGTGCAAGACCTGTAGGAAAAGCGGTAAAGTACCTTTTTATTTGGTCTATATTTTTATCGAGCGTCAGATGAAGTTTTCGCACGCCCTGGAGCTAAAAACTTGCGATCCGCTAAGTGTGCTCGAACGCAGTTTTCACAAGACTCACGCTTCCGAAAACGGGAAAATACTTTTCTTGAAAAAAGATAACTTATTCAACTATCTCATCTACATCCGTATTATAGTGTCGAGTTGTCGCACGGAGTCACTTAGCGCCTACGCAACTCCCCACCTGTTAAGCTCATTCTGTGGTCTGGGGTGTATCTATACTGCAACCTCTTTTAAACCTGGTTTTGCTATGTGACTCGACAGTGGTGCTTTCAGGACACTCGTATTGTTTATACGAAAATACGACTCCAAAGAACTGATAAAATTATACTACATTTTATCATTCAGTCTCCAATCCAAACTAATAAAGAACTTATTAACAGTTTCCGATAAATAACTCACTGCATTAACCAAATGTCTTGGCGCATATTTATGATTAGATTCACGTAAAACATCTGAGCACTAATTTTTCTTTGATAAATCACTCAAGGAGAAAAGCATCGCATTCAAGTGGACCCACTATTCTTGACTGGAATAGAGAATGTGTCGTTCAGTAATG